TGATAATTTAGGTTATTTTTAAGTAGAAAGAATTCAAATTTATCATTTATATTTTTGTAAATGAGGATTGTTTTAAAACGCAATCCATTTTATATTATTTTTAAATTGAAACAAAACACTCGTGATAAAAAAAAGGGTCTCAAAAATTTCCTGGTGTCTAAACATAGAAATAACAATGAAGAACGAAAAAAAGCTATGACTTAAAATTAAGTTGTTTTTATGATCCTTTAATTTGTAAATTTTATCAATTAAATTTAGAGTGAAATCTATTCAATTTTATTTACTAAGAAAATCTTTATTAAAATAAAATACTCTAAACGATATAATTGTAATTCTATTAAAATGATATATATAGAAAATAGCAAATTCTTTCAATACTTAATAGCAAAAAAATAAACAAATAAATAAATATAAATGATGATATCTCATGATATATAAAAATATCATCGATATATTCTATAGTAACAGATAATGCATAAGATTTTTAAATGAATAAAATCAATTTTCTGAATAAAATACATAATAATTTTGGAATTCCTTTCATGATTAGCCTTTAATTTAAGTTAAAGGATTATATGGATGTTAGACAGGATATTATAAGAGTTTAAATAGGATATAAACTTATCTTAATATTTAAAAGAATCTGAAAAAGGTGATCTGATTGCAATCGAAATTAAAAACATTTTATTATTTTGTCTGATATTCCTTGAATCATTTTTATGACAAAACCTATATCTGAGAAAGCTATTGAAATAGTACTTTTTAGAATATTGCATGATTTAAATGATAATATTAAGATCTGCTTAAAACATAACGATTTTTTAATCTAATTTTTCAAATCACTAAAAAAACTGAAAATATATACTTGTTATCTATACTAAATTAATAAGAGATTAATTCATAAACTTTATCATCATCAATTACCATAATTATAAAGCTTGATTATACTGATTAAGAGGAGAATTGTTCATAAAATTTTATTAGGATTTTACAGATTCTCTGCAGCTTGAATTGTTAAAACTTAAAATGGTTCAGTAATTCGATTATATTAAGTTTTCAAGAGAGAACATTAAAGTGAAAAATTGAGAGAAAAACTAAATGCTATAGGTAGAGTATGAAAAAAATACAAATACAGAAAGAAAAGAAAAGAGTTAATTGAATCAATATTAAAAGAAAAAAAACCTAATAAACTGTTATTTTATAAGAAAAGGGACGAGAAAAAGGAACTCAATTAAATAGAAACATTTATTAAGCATGTATTTTCATAATAAGTTAATCATAGAATCTCTTTAGAAAATAGAACAAGAAAAAAAAAACAATTCATAATAAATATTAAATATCAAGTAAATATTTCATAATTTGAAAATTAATCGACTCAATGAAAACCCAAAAGAAAATGCTTCCAATACTTATAGAAACTGTTTATTTTCACGAAGATAAATTATTGTTATATTAAACTTTTAAAAATGATTGGAAAGATCTAAATTTTACTGTTAATTAAGTTGCATACCTTAAATGTTGCAATTAATTTATTGTATAAACAAATTAAAATTAAGGTTTTAGATAAAAAGAAACAGATTTGGGTTTTAAATAAATTTAATATACAATTAAAAAGATTGAGAATCCTAATTATATTCTACTGGTTTTATTCTCAGTATTTAACCTGAATACAAATATAATTAATTGTTAAGCTATATAAGTGGAAAATATTTTTATCTTGCAAACTCATATTGTTGTTATAGAAATGATTAGTTGTTTTAGACTCTAAAGTATTCGAATATATGGATAAATCAAAATATTTGCTGATTGTTCTGATGTTATTATTTTAGACCAATAAAATAACTTAAATGAATAAAAAACAACTCACCTTATATGTAATTTAGTATCATAAAGAGAATTTAACAGATAATAATATGATGAAAAAAATTAATTGGAAACCCTGCTTTAGAAATAAACAAAGTTTCTTTCAGTAAATTTGGACCAAATATCAATTTATCTTTTGAAACTTAATATTTTAAATAATGAACCTTATTTTAATTATATGAATTTAAGTGAAGCTACAATAAATTTATAATAACCTCAATTAGTAGAAAGTGATAATAGATTAATAAAAAACATAGTTTTTTCAAGAATTCCTCTTGAATTATGCACAATTGAAAATGGAACTTAAATCCTTAATGATCTTTTTAAGAATTTAGTTGAAACATCAAAATAGTTAGCTGTTGAAAAGCTGTATAAAAATAGCTTATTCAAATTAGGAATTATTTCATCTAAAATTCATTTAAATCCAAGAGATGGAAAAATGGGAAGGAACTAATATAAATGATAAAAATTCTTTTATGTTAGTTAGAATTGTCTGACAAAACTAATGCAAGTTTAATTGAACTAAAGATAAGAATAGAAAAAAACTTGTAATGGTACTACTGAATAATAATGTTTAACTTGTGATCCTGTATTTAATAGAATATTAAATTTTAATTAATGTCCATGTATACAACATTACTTTGAAATGGAAGTTTCAAAATGCATAAGTTTATTTTTATATTACTAAATTTTAGTATGTAGCGAATTTTGTTATCAATGCAAAAAAAAATTTTAGAAATGTATAATAAAAAAATACAAACTAAAATGTACTTATCAAAATAGATATTTGTATAATTTAGAATATTTTGAAAGCAATACATTTGAATATAACATCATGGTTTAATGCCATAGTATTTATTTCATATACCACCAGAATGTCTTTATTCTGGTGGTGTATGCAAAGGTTAATTAAACAGATTGCATTTCTTGTATTGATAACGAAGAAAGATTCTTATAGCCAATACATGTCTTTGTAAGGAAGGAAAAATTGAAAATCTTTATCTAATTAATGTAATTGTAAAGATGGTTATTTTGATGATGGAATTCAAATATCATGTTAGATATGTAGTCTAAAATGCAAGACCTGTGAAAATAAAGCAAATTTTTTTATAATTTTTGAGAATTCTATAAGAAATTATCCTCACTCATTTGATTGCTTGGATGGATATTTTGAAGATGAATAATTGACATGTTAAAGTATTCTTTATATAATTTAAGTTTGCAATCCTTCATTTAGGAATTTATAAAATTTTAGTGATCTGCAAGTTTAAGACAAAATCATTGCTAAAATCAGATATTTGTTTAATATCACCCAAGAATATATTGATGTCTTGATTAAAAATTAGGTGAAAAATTAATTTAATTTACTGAAAAAAAATTTAAAATTGAAGATTCAGCCGTTTAAATAGTATCAAATATCTTAGATAATTCGAAATCTCAATTAATCTTTTTGAAATTAACAGACACCCAAAAAAATTTTTGTCAAGCAGAAACAAATTCTTTTGAGATTATCTATAAGTCCAAATTCAACATATCTAGTTAATTAATATTATTTATTTATACTTTTTTAATAATTGCAAAAAATTAAATATCATAACTTCTTGATACTCAAACCATATTAGAATAATGATTAATTCTAAATACAAGCAATTAAATAAATTTATGAAACAATTACACCTAAAGCTAAAATATAGATTGTGCTTAAATTTAATTTTTCAATTTAAATCTAGAAAATAAAATAGTATTGTTATTTGAATCTATGAACAAAAATGTAATAAATTATTTCAACAAATTTATAATGATTTACTTAATTTATAAATTTAAATAAATTAAATGGATAATATTTTAAAATCTTAAGCAATAAACTTTATTAATAATTTTCAATATTTAAAACATCATAAAAAACCTAAAATCTAGGTGATTTTAAAGAAAATAAATGTTTTGTTTTTAATTCATCTCACATCATTGTTACTTCACAATAAACCTAAACAAATTATAAAAAATCATTGATTTTATATGAGAGGAGATAAAAAATACAATTATTGTTAACAATAAAGCATTTATTCTTGAAGGTAATTACAAAATAACTTTTTAACTTGTAATTTCTTATAGAATCAACAAAAGAAGATTATTTAATATTTTATTTATTATGAATCTATTCACCTTAAAAATAATCCATTTAAATTGTTGACAGATTTTGATAATATCCTTCAAAAATAACTTATGCTCAAGCATTATAAATTTATCTTACAAAATTTTATTAAATTTAATTTTAAATATTTATAAAGGAAGATATATATTATTTAAAGATTTTTAATCTATGTACAGCACATCATTTGAATCTTTTAATATTTGCTCAAGTAACATAGAAAAATTTGAAGAATATAAAATTTGATGCATCGGAAAATATATCTGGATTATTTTTTAAATGTGATTTGAATGAAAAACACATTTATTGATAGAACATGTGAATGTTCAAGATTTGGAGTTTTTAACATCTTCTATGAATTTTACATTAACTAATATAGAAAATAATAAAGAAATAATATTAAATTACGATATGGCAATTAAGAGATTTAACAGCAAGTTTTGGGGTTTTATCATTAGTATTTTTCATAATCTAAATTAATTAATTAATTAAAGATTTCAGAAATTCAACTTAAACAAAAGAAACAATTTCTACTCAAGAAAATTCAGATTTAATCGATAAGAATAAAATGTTGTATAGAGGTATCAAATTATATTATAATAATAATAATAATCTGGATCTTGAATTTAAACATCAAGATTAAATTTAATAATTATATATATATTTAGATAAAGATTTTGAATGAGAGATTTATTCACAAAAAATAAACTTATAAGTATATTATTTATTTACCAAAATTAGAATTACAATTTAAGTCAATAAAATATTATTTAAAAAAACTCTAAATTAATTCAACAATTTCAAAGAAAATTGCATAATTTAAAAAAATATTTCACTTTAAAAGATGTCTCAATATTTTTAGAATCAAAAATGTCAAAAAAAAATGCCAAATAAATTTGATAATTTAATCTTTTTTTTTCTAAAAAATTGGATTAATATTTTTAATAATATATTGCCATTTTATTAATTCTTATCATTTTAATCAATATCATGGACTTAAACCATCAAAATAATTATAATTGTTTGTTTATTCATCTAAGCAAAACTTGATATTATCAGTTAAATCATTCAATATTCTAAAAAGTACATTTTCAATAGATTCCTCAGATACAGGCTTTATTCTAAAAAATGATTCAGGTAAAATCAAACAAAATAATATAATGTTGTTGAATTTTATTGCAACTAGATTACCTTTTTCTGATTCCTTTAAATATTTCGATAATCTTATATCCTAATTAAAATCTTATTATATTTATATTTCTATGATTCTCTAACATCCATATAATCCTTTGACTTAAACCTAAGGAAAGCAATTCAAAAGTTATTGAATCTATTTTTTTAGAAAATTGACTTAATCCTATGAAAAATCTTATTCATTATTAGTCTTTATTGAATATAGCACAGTTATTTAAATATCTTGGAACATAATTGTTAATTTATTATATAGATATTTTATTTTCTTTATTTTATGTTATTTATATCACTCTTAATAGAATATGGTTTTTTAGTTATAGAATTTAATCTTTTACTTTAATTATTGATATGAATTTATAATTTCGGTGGAGAACAATTAAATATATCACTTGAAAGGAATTAGTTCAAAATCTAATTTACTATTAAAAGGATTGAGATAATTTTTCAAACATAAACGCTCAAAAAAATTTAAATTTTAATTAACTTAAAACACTAAATTGGATTGTTTCACTTAATGATGAGTTCTCTAAAAAAGAAAATATTTAATTATACTTTAAAGTTGATTTCCATGATTTTAGCTTATTCTATAATACACCAATTATTTAATACAATTGCTTTTTCCCTTTTTCCATATTGAAATTAGTTTTAACACTCATTTCCAATTATTTTATTCCCTTTTTCAAAGAATATGATTTATTTTCCACTTCACAAAAAATTTATCTTCTATACTCCTATTGTATTCATTTCTTATTAATATCATAATATATTCTTTGGTGGAAACTCTCATAAATAAATTTTTAGTTATCATCTTCAATTTAAGATTAAAAGATTGATAATTCTATTCCTAAGTTTGAATATCAAATCTGGGTTTGGCCCACCAGTAGTTATGTCTCAGCAGTCACAAAATGTTGAATTTTCTAACCAGAATGTTGAATGTGGTATATTTAATTGTGTGAAAAAAGGGGTTGGGGCATTAAAGGGACGTGATAAAAAATTGTATTATATTCTTCTTTATACAAAAAAAAAAAAGAATATTAAAATCATTCTTTAAATCGATATTAACAAATTTTTTGTTAAATTAAAGTGTTATGATTATAATCATTGATTTTTATTGTTTTGATATGCAAAATTATTAAACAAGATTTTTTATTACTAAATAAGGCTTATAAATTTATATGAAGCCGTATGTGGTGTTTGTAACATAAATATTAATTTCCCTTCGTAAGAATATCAAGAAAGAAAAAAAGTAAACTATAATTTTAACAATTTTATATGTATCAATCTATTATATTTTTTTTTTTTTTTAGTTTTCAAATTTTATATTATGATTAATAAATACATTTATAATTTCACTATATGATATTGCATAATTACATTTCTAAAAAGATAAATTTCTCTTTGATACATTTACTTGTTATATTTCAAAAATGCCATATATTTTATTCAACTTTTTTATTATGTTAGAAATCATATATATAATGGATTTAAATTCATCAAGATATAATCCTATTCTTTATTGAAATTAAACTACCTTAATTTGCAAGGATTTAAATTAAATTGTATATATCGTAAAAGTATAAAGCTCAATATACAAAATTTAAAAAAATCTTTATTATAATTCACTATATCTCTCTGACTTCAAGTTAGATTTAATACTAAATAGGTGGAATTAAAATTTCTATTCTACTTTCTCCAAAACAGGACATAGAGGAATAATAGTTTATTAAGATCAATTTAGAATTGAATTTGATTAAGCCTTTTTACCTTAATTTATTATTATTGAATCTTACCTTTCTGAAAAAAATATACCAACATTTACAACAATTAATTTAAATTGAAAGGTGTATTTGACTTTCACTTTGATTTAACTTTTTTATTTGATCTTAATCTTCATTGAAAACAAAACTAAAAATAATTTTTCTAGAACTTTATTATTCTTCAAAGAGAGTTTAACAATACAATATCCTAGTCTTTTTAAGCTTTTTAAAATCAATTTAAGCTAGTTCAGTGAATTAAATCAGTCTTGCAAATTATTGTTTTTATTCTTAGTATTATAAAAGTTTTTTTTTTTAAATGTGCTTGCTATTTATTATTATTTAATCATTTTCACCTTGCTTAATGATAATATTATAAAGCCTCACCATATTATATTTAAATTAATAAAGGTATTTGTTAAATTTAATTATCCTTATCTTTGCTTATTATATCATTTTTACATTTATTAAAAGAATCAGAATATTATTAAGATTATTTTAAATCCATTTTCTAATGTATATACTATATTTGATTTTTAATCATTTTTTAGCTTGATTTAGAGCATTAGACAAGAATTTTTCAATGAATAATTGTAATAATAATTTAAAGATTCTTCATTGTATTTCTATTCAATTTTTTCTTTATCAATATTAGTATTTCAGTAATTTTTTTGGATTTCTTTCCATTATCATAAATAAATGCTTCTTCAGATCAATTTCTGTTATCTAATGTCATTGTTATATTTCATTATATCAACAACTTTTTGAATTTTTAATTATGCAATAATTTTTTTCTTTATAAAGCTTTGTTTTATTACTTACATATTTATTATTAAATATATTTTAGAATGCTCTATTACTTTAAGATTTTTTTATTAAATTGCATAATTATTAAACATTCTCTAATCAATTGAAAATATCTACTGTTTTAGCTATATTTTATTATTACATTAAGTATATTTACCTTTATTAAAATATATATCAGAATTATTGGAATTATTTCAATTGCAAAATATCATAGTATTATCAAGCTTCTTCAATTCTAATTAAGCATGTTAAAAATTATTAAGTGCATATATACACTAAACTATCTCTTATATTTGCTAAATATGATTCTGAAAATTACATTTATTATGATAAAAATCGTAATTGCATAATCAAATTTGTAATTACATTTTTTAGCAATCCAATATTTAATGTACATACACTTGCCATATTTTATTATAGAATCAATTATACTGCAGCATCTTAAAAATGTTTTCTTTCTATTTAAACCTTCTTACTATTTTTTAAATTATTTCTAATTATTATGATAGATTTTATTAAATAGTTGGCTTTGCTCTATTTTTTTTAATTCATTATATTTTTATTAAAGCTTCTTCAAATTCATATTTGTAAATTGCTATACTTTTACATTATTTATTTTTTTATATTGCTTAATCATAATATTTTAAGGTCTCTCAATCAATTTCAAATTATTATTTATATCAATTCCAAAAATCTAGTATTTTTTAGCTAATATAATTATTAGATATAAATACTTTAATTTTTAACTTAAATTTCATTTTGTAGTATTCCTAAAATGAATCATTGTATTATTAATATAACTCAAGATTTTTTTCCATTACATGTTAATCATAAAATTTTAATTTAGAGTTATCCAATTTATTTGCTGTATTTTATATTTGAGGAACATTACCTTTATTAAAATATAATCAATCTATCAATTCTTCTTTGAATCAATTTTAATTATCCAAAATTATTTGCTTAATTGTAGTATTTTATAATTATCGGATAATTTTATTATGATGATTCTTCATAACTTTTCCTTTATTGTTGCTATATTTTATTATTTAATTAATTTTACTTTTATTATTATTATTTTTTGCATCTTCATTTTAGTTATTTATTATTATATTAATGCATAAGCATAAGCCTCTCTTCATCTCTATTAAAATTTTTCCAAATTAAAAGGAATAAAATATTTTTTGTTAATAAAGCGATATTAAATAAAAATTAACCTTCTGCACCTTGGTATTTTTCAATTGCATAATAGCAGGGTATATAGCTTTTATTATCAATAAAGTATTTGCTATATTATATTATTCAAATTTATACTTTAATTTTTTCGGTCCTTTCATAATTATTATCAAGACTTTAAATATAAAAGAACCATCAAGTAACTTAACGATATTGCTAAATTTGATTTATGATTCCATATACAGCTCCTTAAACTTATTGCCATATAAATTATTAATTTATTTCTAATTTTTTTTGTATTATCTAATATGAAGTTTATCCATTGTTAACTTCTAATACCCTCTCTCTCTATTTGTTTTCCAACTATTGCATTTGTAAATGAAAAAAAATATTGAAATTAATGATATGTAATAAATTTACCATAATTTTTTTTAGAATAAAGACTCAAGAAAAAGAGTTCTTATTTTATGTACTTTTGGGATACAAAGGCAAGGACAATAATTAAATGACAGATATCATCGATTTAATTTAAAAATATATAACCATGAAGTTTTTATTTTTTTTTGAAATTCATAATGGTAATATTGTAAAGCTACTTCTAGTCTTATAAACTCTCTAATTGTAATGGCTTTTATTTTCTTTTTAATCATTTTATTTTCTTAATAATTACAATTAGATACTTCTCTCATGATTTAAATTTGCTTTGATAATGAATGTATGAGTTAAAATTTATTATCAAGCAAATTATACAATTATTCTTATTTATTCTCCATCATTTTTTGTGTTTGAATCAGTTGAAATAAGGCAAGAAGATGAAATAACAGTTATTCTTTAACTAGATTGATTTTGTAATGAAAACAATTTAGAATATTTAATATTTACTTCAAAATATTTTATTGATTATTTTTTTTTTTTTTTATATTGTATAATCATGCTGCTTCATTCAAACTATTTTATACAACTAATATACAAAATAATATAATGAGATACAATTTTTTTAACATATCATTATTTTTAATCAGCTTATATAATATTAAAAATATTGCAATAATTCTTCAATTATTGTTATATATTACCTAATATGAAGGTCTTATTTCAATTATAATCTAAACATTATTTAATAAGCTCCTTGTTTCTTATTACTATTGCTTGATTCTTTAAAAAGCTTATCTAATATATTTGTATATGCATAATTGCATTACGATAGTATTATAAGGTTTATTCAAATCAAATTTAGTTCTAAATGTATTTGCTATATTTCTAATATTTTAATCAATTATTAATGCTTCTTCAAATTGATTTAAGTTATCCAATTTACTTGTTATATCGTATGGTTTTTAAATAGATACTGTTAAGAAACTAGTTCAAAGAAATTATATCAAATTGAAATCTATAATATATAATATATTATTTTGATCAATAATTTTCATAGTAATTTTTTTAATTACTATATAATTGACCTTTCTTATTTAAAGCTATGCATATTAATTCTACTATCTAAAATTTTTAGCTATTATAATAAAAAGCTCTTTAATCTAAGGAAATGTTGGAAAATTGCATTTTTCTAAAATCAATGTCATAAGTTTAATTTATTTTTTTTATTATTAAATAAATCAAATCATTAATCTATATTAAAAAAGACTAAATAATTCCATCACAAACTAAAGCTTTTTCTATCAAACTCTATTTTGCTATTTTTTCATTTTTCTTTTATAAATTTCGGACTATCCTATTTTTAAATTATCTTGAATATTATCAGTAAGTTTAATGTAATCACTATTTGGCTTGTCTAAATTAATTTTTTTTTTATTATTATTTTTTATTGTTAGCTTTCTTAATTACTAAATTCTTAAGCCACCTAAAACCATTTTGATATATATTATTTTTTCATAAAACTTTTTTCTCTTTAGTTAACTTTTCTTCGATATATTTGGTTAATTATTATCATAATTATTTTTATAAATTTCCAAATTATATTCAAGCTTATTTTAAGTATATTTAATTTGTGAATTCATATAAAGCTCTTAACAATCTATAAGCTTGTTGTAC